CCTGGTTAATCACCCTTTACAGCGATGAAAGCTCTCAAACCGTCTGCATGAAAAAGTTTCCCTTGTAGCTATTCCCAGACGCTTCCATGATTTCAAGGGCCACATTAAGAAAGATGCAGCAACTGCCTGCACCCTCACAAATTTGATTGGGATCAATCTGCACATGATATTGACTCTAACTCCTCTTGGCTCTAGCTCCTCTGCATTCGACCAAGAAAATCTTCCTGCTTATTCGTATCGAATAAAACCCTTGTAATATTTCATGCGGCTGACATTTTTGCCAGTCTCATTGGTACTCTCGGTGTTATCGCAGTTCGTGCTGACGATGGTTTTGCAACTTCTCGTCGAACAGTCCCCTAGCTGTAGTCTCACGTAATATCCTAGTGTCAGGACGCTTTCTTCTTTTTTTCTTTAGCGTTTGTCCCGCTTGGTGGCAGGGTCCGCTGTCTATAACTGAAATATACCAGGAGTTGCCATCCTATCCACATCAGAATGCCACGCGTCTCCCGTCTCAGGAATGAGTGTAAATTTCGTCAGATAAAGTAGGACAATAAATAAATATTTCAACTATAAACAACGGCTCTCATAAGTAGCAGTTCTGATGCCTCCCAGTTGCCTCACCCACCACCAAGACTGAAAGGCTATTTTCTTTCACGAGTTCAGTTTGTGCACGTTTTTTGAATGTTAGATGGTACTAGCATTGTGTGACGCGAAAAAAATTGTTCATGAGTCAGAGACGGGCAGGAAATCGCCTTGCTATCACGAAATGAGCAGGTCCGGGAAACGCGTCCAGAGAGGCTGCCAGGTCCTCACTCAGAGACGGTGCCCATGATAAAGTGTCATGGATAGTTGCTGTCCAGTAATGAAACAGTAGCTGACATAATCCTCCAAAGGAGAAAAAAGCAAGAGAAGCCTCAAGAACACCATAAACAAAATCGCCCTGACAGTCACACCGTCCCTGCGGTCTCTGTGCAACCCCTGGCTCACAAATCGCTTTTTCGCATCTTCCAGCAGTAAATATCATCCAATGCAAAAATGAATTCGAAAAATCAAAAACACCAACGCAAAACTCTTGACAAAAAGGAACTTCTGAAAACTCGGAGTACGGTTTTAGGGTTACAATAGGCATCTTCTAGTACGTGCACTAGCAGATGTACGCTTTCGCACCAAGAAAATTGCAACATCGTGATTTTTACGCGTTTTACCTCGCGAGATGAGTTGCAGTTGACTGGAATAAAATGTAATAAAGGAAATTTCTTGTGGGCACAAGCGCAGTCAGCAAAAATGGGTATGCATTCCGATTGATGCCCGCCGCCCCAACAAACAACTGAGCGGCCCTGCGTCAGATGTGGAGAGGGCATCTAGCAAGTGGGCGGTCCAACTGAGCGGGCGTTAGAACTAGAACTTTCAGCGGCTGTAGCACGCTCCTCGCTCGCTGTGGAGTCGCGAGAGTGGGACAGTCTCTTAGCTGGTGACTGTGACGACCATGAATTCCACTCCTTATCCCTGAGCCAGAGTAGGCGTGGCATTTGAACATGGCACGGAACTGGTTACTCGTGGAATATTCCAGTCTGGGACAACTGTCATCTTGTTCTGTGTTGGACAGAGACACGACAACAATTGTGTCAAGATGAAAATATCTCACCAGAAGCATAGACACCTTCAGGTTAAGTTGAAACATGCGGCCACGCCTACCCGATCTCAGGGATATAGTTGAGCGCGGGAGTTGTCTTTAAGACGATCTAAATGATTTTTTTCTGGAACTGAGCGCTACTATCTACAATGTACAAACGCGAGGTTTGTTTTCTAGCCCGTATAGCCACACCCTGTGATATCACAATAATCTCGTTTTCCATGCATCACTGCGCGTTCAGGCTGTTGATACCGTTGAGATGTGGTGCATTAGTTGTTGTTTTCTGTAAACTTGAGGACGGGCTCACGCGTTCCCTGCGGCATCTTCGCAGTAACTGCGGCTTCAGGTTGTCGGGGCATTCAGTACACCGAGGGCGGCAGCCCTCCAGGAACATTGCTAATGCCGTTTGGACTCCAGAAATTTCGTCTTCGAGCTCATTCAAACTAACTAGGGAAGGTCGTCAGGTCGAAGTGGCCATTTGTGATGAGATGTAGATCACTAGACGTGGTTTTGGACGCTGATCTTGAATCTGCCTTCAAAATTTGCAAAGCGATTCTCTGAACGGAGTTATGGAGCCGCGTTTACCACGCAACAGGTCATGGGATCGGATCCCTGCTGAGCTTAACTTTTTTGCTTGTTGCGCAAACGTGGCAAAAAGTGATTTTGCCGTCACTACTACTTCAGTTCTCACCTGAGCTTGTCTGAAGAAAAGCCTCCATTTATTACTGCGCTTGGACTCCTTGTAGAAGCACTGTAGTGCACTGTAGTCTACAAGGAGTCCAAGCGCAGTAATAAATGGAGGCAAACTTTTCTTCAGACAAGCTCAGGTGAGAACTGAAGTAGTAGTGACGGCAAAATCACTTTTTGCCACGTTTGCGCAACAAGCAAAAAAGTTAAGCTCAGCAGGGATCCGATCCCATGACCTGTTGCGTGGTAAACGCGGCTCCATAACTCCGTTCAGAGAATCGCTTTGCAAATTTTGAAGGCAGATTCAAGATCAGCGTCCAAAACCACGTCTAGTGATCTACATCTCATCACAAATGGCCACTTCGACCTGACGACCTTCCCTAGTAAGTACAAACCGAAGGGTTATTTAACATCGTGATGTACAGTCCTCATCATTGCGGACCGGTGGGGCGTGTCAGCCAGAAGGAGTGCGCACACTGTTGAAGCCGTTCTCAGCCTTTTTGTTGCAACGCGTATGCGACAAAAAGTGGTAGAAAACGAGTATACGAGAGGATACAATACAGTAATGCATTGTCCGCTTCAAAAACTGGTGCAGAACGATTTTGCCAAACCGCACCAAACGCAGCCGCACTGCCACGCCCCACCGGTCCGCAATGATGAGGACTGTACAATTACACTCATTCTTGGCGCTGGCGCCAAGAGATGACACTACGATTACCTCCTGGGCTCAGCCTTAGCAGAGCGCAGATAATCGTAGTGTCATCCATTAGCGCCAGCGCAAAAATGAATGTCATATTCGTGATCAGGATGTTGAATTACCCCTATATACAAGTTTTTAGCGGATTTGGTGATCTTGCCACTTTTAAAATGAGCTCGAAGACGAAATTTCTGGAGTCCAAACGGCATTAGCCAGGAACTTCTTCGACCAATTTCACGCGCAATTTTCGCGGGTACTGTACGCTGCCTGACAGCCTGAACTTACAAGGGAGGTTTTTCAGGTCATGGCGCGCTTTTTGGAAATGGTTTGTTGCTTGTTGTAGGGGTCCATACAATCACAAAAATGGGTTTCATTTTTGCTATGCGTTTCTGGGGAGGTCAAAAACAGTGAAAAGAATTTGACAAGAATGGGCGATTTTAACTATCTTAATGGGCTCCGTTCTGATTGTAACTTCGAGCATGCATAGTTTATGAGGTGCTCGTTAATTAGGCTTCGAAATAGTTTTAAATAAAGTCGAAATGTAAGTATCATGTAGTAACACACTGAGCCCATTAAGATAGTGAAAATCGCCCATTCTTGTCAAATTCTTTTCACTCAGTTTTGACCTCCCCAGAAACGCATAGCAAAAATGAAACCCATTTTTGTGATCCTTGTATGGACCCCTACAACAAGCAACAAACCATTTCCAAAAAGCGCGCCACGACCTGAAAGACCTCCCTTGTTAGTCTTGTTTCGCTCGCAAAAACAAACAGCGGTACGTAACAAGGCAACCGAGAGCCGCTGTGAATTTGTCAACTTTTCTCATTTCACGCAAGATTGTGTACAATTTGAGAGTGTGCCATATGAGCCCTTTTCAACGTGCCTGCCCGCACAATATTGTACACAATCGAGAGGATTCAGAAGCCGCTCCTTTACATTGTCAGTGAGGAATAAGCACGAAAGAAAAGTGGAGAGCATTACCAAAAATAACCAAATAATTTGTGCAAAGATTGCGGAAAGAGGTAGTGCCACCCATTTCTAGGGTTTTACTCGTTTTACTGCCCAATGAAGTGCTCTATGAGTGAATAACAAATGAAGGGCATGAGCGACTCTCATGTCGAAGGGTAAGTTATAAGAAGAATTCTGCCTAAGAGATTTTCATACTCGGGCATGAACTGTCGAAAAGCACCATCAATGTCGTCATGGTGTTGAATATCAACGTCTCGCAAAGGCAATCAAGATATTCGCTTTCAATGTTGAAGCATTGCAGGGCTGCTCTCTTGAGTGGTGCAAGTACTAGCGCATTTCTGCTCTTACTGTGAATAAAGGTTAAAAACAGATCTTGAAGACAGTTTTCGAGACTGTACATTTTGCGTGGTGGCGTTCGGTTGCAAACCTCTAGTTGCATGCTAGTAATATGACAGTGAAAAAACGAAAAAAGTGGCGAAAAACTGAATTTGTCTGATGCGTTCTTACTTTGCGGCAGAGTCAACCAGCGTCCCAAGAGTTCTGCAGGGTCACCAACTAGCAAAGTATAGATATCGATTGTCTGCCAGCATCAACCTGCGACCCACTTTTTGCTTCTCACAGTAAGATATCTTTTACCTTGAAACGTATTACTAGGGTTCTTTCCATACTCAGCAAAATAGGTATGTTGGAAATCTGAAATCATTTCTACAAAAACAGTCATGTTCGCCACGGAAGAAGGGGAGTGTCAGTCGGGATACGTTCGAAGGCGGCCCCAACCTTTCTCCACGAGTTGCTGAAGCGAGCAAGCGCCAGCAACTGGTGGGAGACGACTACGAACGATGTCATAAAGCATCGTTTACTCGCTTTAACAACCGACTTCCAAGCAGAATGTTCAACACCACTGCTTTAACGATGCTCCATAGAACAATATTTCCTTTTATATTATATATTACAATTTAGGAGGTTACAAAAAAATGCCTATTTACGCAGTAGTCAATCGAACATAGAACATTGTTACAATCTCTGCCAGTGAATTTGCATGAATGCCATATGACATCCAGCTCGTCCAGAACTCTTCCACTTATCGTATCTCTTGAGGATTTCGTGATGGAAATCACGAAAAACCTGTTCTGGCAATGATTTAATTTCGTCTCTGAAATACAATATATGAATATTCATGCTTATTTCTGCGAATACGAAAAAAATATTGAAAAAGACCCTTCACTGTCACAGTGCACCAATATAAACTTTATTAAAATGCATGAGGGTCCGCTATGAAATGTTACAGAGTTGTTTAACCAATCACTGAATGACCTGCGCAGAAGCTATGGGCAGATGGTTGCCACTTTTGTGGCGTCAGTTTCTTCCTTTTCTCATCATTCGCACTCAACATTATAAGAAAAAAAAACTGAGGTTTTCTCCGGGGTGGGGGGAGGAGGGGGGGGGATTCGATACGTTGCTCAATTGTTGCCCCTTTACTGGAATACCATGACACAAGGCAATGTGAGGAAATTCTTTCAGACGACCCCCGTATGGAAACACCTACCTGGTAAACCATCTACATTCGGCAGCTTCTTCAGTCGAGCCTGCTTTCATAGTGTCATCAACAACTTCCATGACGCAGACAAAATAAATATCGCCAACATTTTCATATTGAGATCTAGCAATTTGTCTGAAACATGATATTTTGCAGGTTTCGTAAATGCTTGGAAAAGACTATATACTAATGATTAGTCAGGAGTGAAAGAATGTGTGCAGAATAGAGAAAGACTAGAAGCATCAAACTTTGATTTCAATTTGAGAACTGATGGTAAATCCGCTCTCTTTTCCAGTAGAATATGAGACATTCTCCCGACCGTAAAGGCAAGAAGGACAGACTTCACTCACTGCTCTTCGCTCTTCAGACTGAATCCTTCCCTTACAATTAAGCCCTCCGTGTTCCGGAACAGGATGATCGGCGAAGGTTACACTCCTTTCCCCTTCCCTGCTCAGTTTTTAGAACAGAATTAAGGCCAGTCAACTGAAGCTCTGGGTGAGTGAGCTCCTCGCATTTTCGCACATTTAAACTTCTCACAAATGGTAGCCAGTTCTCCGATGCCCCCTCTACCCTTAGAACTTCTATAGCGCAAACAAAAGATGAAAACTACTTGCTGCGAAGAAGATTCCTCTAAAACGTACCTGAAGCACAATATGGCTTTTCCTAGTGCCTTAACTCCAGTTTCTTCGAGTACTTCACGAGTAGCTGTATCAAATATGCTCTCTCCCGGATCTGAAAGTCCGCCAGGATATTTCCAACCTAGGTACACCCTAGAAATAAAGTTAGTTGATTCAAAAGTGTAACGAAACCTTGAAAAACCAACCCGTGTCGCTCCCTCATCAACAGGACCCGATCCTCTGTATCGATCACAAGACCGCCGACGCCGATCATCGTGTGTGCATACCTTTAATTATTCATGTGGCGAAGACTTTCCACTCACAAGTCAATTGCTTTAATCAGCTCGAATGAGCACTGGCCGAGAAGGATTGAACCATATATTTCTTGTCGGAATGTTAGAATACAAGTTTACTAATTACGGTTAAGTTCTCACCGTGGCAACGTGGATGGCGTTTCCGGTAGCCAGTTCGTCATCATCAAGTAAGTTGGCTGCGTATGATGGAATAAAAATCCTTTATCCACCAGCACTGGAATAATGTGAGAATCCTAAAACGCTAATTAGCCAAGTTGTCCAAATATAAACTGCTACAATTACACTACCCACTTTCAGCCCCGATTCTACACTTTCAACTTGAATACAAAACCTTTCTAGAAACTAATTTTCATTGAGTTTACAATCTCAGGTACTGTTCTCCAAGTTTCAAAGAGGAAGATCTGACATTTGGGAATTCCGTGGGAAGTGCTTCCAGCGTGATCCGACTCCCCCGCCCCTACTAAACCTTGTATTTGACAGCGGAGCCGCATTGATAGTACAGCAGCTCACAGAACAACTGTCAACTGTCGTAATACCTGCGGTTCTACCCTAACTGCCACCCTCACTCCGATTCTGCAGTCGAGCTTTTGCATCGGACAACTCGTCCAGGGCGCTTATAATCTTGTTTGAGCTATTAAAGTGGTTCTGTCATGAGTACTCCTGAGTCGTGATAGAGTCTAATTCAATGCAGATCACAGTATATTAACAGTCGCCCTTACAAAATAAGTCGAATCCAATCTTAACAGTTCATCGAGAAATTTACTATCGATATCTATTTAAGTTTTTTCGGTAAGTAGTAATAAGCAATATAATAATAGAGTCCGTAGGGCAGCGTTCAGACTTCGCGACGGCAGCGCTTCGGTCGCGCGTTCAACGCGATCGATGCGCATGCTTTCGACTGCATCGATCGCGTCGAACGCGCGACCGAAGCGCTGCCGTCGCGAAGTCTGAACGCTGTCTAACAAGGGGTTGGGTTGGGGAAAGATGTCTGAAATTGGCTGTGTCTGAAATGTCCTAAGTGGAAACTTGTCTGAAAGCAAGCGAAGATGCTTATTCTAGTCAACAGCAAGTAAACTGGCGTTTATGATAACGTCTTGCCAATGCGGCTCGACCAAGTACGTCAATCAAGATGGGCGCTCTGGACGAGTTTCTGGTGCAAAAGGCTGGCTGCAGAGGCAGGATGAATGTGGCAATTACGGTCAGCGCGCCGCAGTAACAGAATAACAGTTGACAGCTGCGCTACTCAACGGCTCCTCCTTCGCGGCCCTCGTAAGAATGTTAGAGGCCCGCCACGATTATTGGGCTCCGCCCCGGAAGTTAGACTGTTCTCTCATTTCATTTCACAATATCGTACTCTAGAGCGTTGCGCTCTCGCTCGCCGGTTTACTTCTCGCCACTGTTTTCTCCTCTTCCTACTATCTTTTCTTTTCTTTATTTCTCTTTCTTCTTTTCTTTCCTAAGCACGCCCAGTGTATCCTCGCCTATGCTCACACGTCTCACGAAATCAGTGAAGGCCTTGTCCAATGCTATTCTCCTGCTCTTTTCCAGAGATCTTCGAATCGCACTTAGACCCTCTGCGCACGACTTTTGACCGCAGAGCGTGCCATCTACGCTCTGTCAGAGCAGTTATTTATCAATATAAAGTCCGACGATCAGGCAATAACACACAGGGTGAGAACTGGGACCAGGGTACAGCATCGTGATGTGTGAAACAGTAGTGCGCACGACTCCCCCTCCTCCTTTCCGTCAAGCGGTGAGAGGGGGTGAAAGAGGAAGGGGACGGGAGTACACAGCCAATGAAACGGGAAGATTTCTTGAATCATCCCCAACTTCCTACCACTTTTTCCGGGAATTTACCGAGAATTTTCATAATTTTTTTAAATTTTGCAGTCGACCGTGGGGGAAGAGGGGGAGGAGGGGGTGGGGGTTTATAGTACACATAAAACAGGCAAAATCACTAAAATCACGCGAAAGTAGTCAACAACCGGGAAAAATTTTTTCCCAACGCGGCAAATTTCTCTCAAAGCACATACGACCCTCTCTCTCCCAACGACCAAATACGACCCCTCCCCAGCGGAAAAGTACGACCTCCTTATGTGTTTCACACAACGATGCTGTACCCTGATTGGGAACGCAGAATTCAAAACTGTAGGGACCAGGAAATCCACTTACCGTAATATCAACCTTAATCCAAACACCACGAACACCTTTTTCTCTCCAATTATTCAGTGACTGTGACATGAGAGAGGAGAATGAGTCCAGCTGCTTTTGAGCAGAAGTGAGGTCGCACGATTTGACCGTTACACCACCGAAAACGTCCCGAAATTCTTTAAAGCACATCTAAACGGAAAAAGACAGAGAATACCATGCCTTTAGTGCACAGGGAACAGAAAGCACAAAATGAGCAAGACAGAAGAAAAAAAACTGGTAGAGAGAGGGTTCTGTTCGCTGTTGATGTTGGGGCGTGTCAGCGAGGCTACTATTTGCGCGCCGCCAACCCATTTTCCCTTTTTTCTGTTGGCAATTGACAAGACTCTCATATCATTCGTATCAGTCGGCTTGAAACGCTACCGTATGCTGGTGGACTCTGCCACACGGCATGAACGCCGCCTCAGGTTTGGAAGGGCGCTGTTGGGCTGGGGGTGAGCGCAGGGAGAGGATTTTCGCAGTTGCTCTAGTTTCTTTCGCCAATTGCTGTTCAACTATTGGGTTGGCTAATAAGTAATGGCCGTTTTTTTCAATTGAAAAATTTGTTCCAAAAGTGAACTGTTTTGCAAGCAAGCTTAATATCGTTTAATAGCAAACTTCTCGTAGTATTAGAATATCAAAACAGCTTCGGTTGAGGGAAGAGTTTTTGTGGATTTTTCAGTCGTTGAAGTTGAAGTGAAGTCGGCGAAAATTAGCACCTTCGACAACTGCCTCTATTTACGTCTACTCGAAGTGCTAAAATCGCTTAAGCTGCTCCATACATTTGGAAAAGGTTGAGCTAGAAGTCTCAGCAAGGGAATCTCAATAGGACGCTTTGGAACTAATTTCAAGAATTTCAAAGTTGGCAACCTTCACCTCGCCGATATTGGGCAGGCTCACGTCTGTTCCACCTGAAATTTCATGCTAATAGTTGAATTAATTGAATATTGAATTTGATATTCTAATACTACGAGAAATTTGCTATTAAACGATATTAAGCTTGCAAAACTTTGGCACTATTGAACTATTCCTACCCCAAAAACTCAAAAAATTTTTTTCGCTGAAACGCCTATAGATGTAATTCGATGCGCTGATCACGAATATCACATCCGTTTCGAGCGCTGGCGTCATTTGGCGCCATTATGCGCCAATTTGGCGCCCACCACTTTTTTCACCAAAGTCGATGAAAACTTGCATATGGGGGTTACTTGACTGCTAGTGGGCTGGCTAATAAGTAATGGCCGTTTTTTTCAATTGAAAAATTTGTTCCAAAAGTGAAAAGTTTTGCAAGCAAGCTTAATATCGTTTAATAGCAAACTTCTCGTAGTATTAGAATATCAAATTCAAATTCAATTAATTCAACTATTAGCATGAAATTTCTAAATAGAGGCAGTTGTCGAAGATGCTAATTTTCGCCGACTTCACTTCCAACTTCAACGACTAAAAAATTCACAAAAAACTATATCCTCAACCAAAGCTTTTGATATTCTTATACTACGAGAAGTTTCCTATCAGATGATATATAACTTGCTTGCAAAACGTTTCACTTTTCGAACAAATTTTTCAATTGAAAAAACGCCATTACTTATTAGCCAACCTAATACAAGTCTACCTTTGGTGCACCTGTCTCTTGTCAAATAATTCACAGGTATGCACAGGAAGCATCGTCAGTGCTCGGTAGGAACCAGCAAAGGGAACCTCCGTTCATAAGCCTGCGAATTGTGGAGGTTTTCAAAAATCACAGTGCGTAATCTCGCATCGGAACCCGCAACTGTGGCGCATAGGCTTGCCAGACATTTCAGGCTGACCTAGACTCCGCTGTGCGCTCTTTTATTTTCGCAGAGAACCAGAGACATTTGATAGAGGAGTAACGAAGACACACTACAGTTGAGTTCTCATCGGACGGTGGGACGGTCCTTCGTCCACGTTGGCAAGCGGTCCGACGCCGCCGCGATCGATAATGGCTGATACGCCAATTAACCTGATTGCTACCGTTTTCAGCTTCAAAAAGCTGAAATTATTCTTCGTCCAGCTTCAATAAGGAAAGGTAAGTATGTTTTAATGAAGCCAGATCTCATTTTGCATGAATTTAGTCAGAAGTATCTAAGTTAATCGAAGATATTCAGGGAGAGTTCAAAAAAAATCGCGAAAAGACGAAACAAGTTTTTGAAGAGAATTCCATGCTGATTTCATGCAGAATGTAATCTAATTCCAATAAATACACTCACTCCTGGAAACTGGAAGTCTAAACTAGAATAATTTCAGCTTTTACAAGCCGAATATAGCAGAAAAACAAAAAAAAACCGCAGAAAACAGCTGATTGGTATTATCAATTATCGATTGGCGAGAGCCCAGACGGAAGAGTGAGTAGGTAGTGCGGCGGCGTGTGTTCAAGCGCAGAGTCAATGTTAGAGAGCGCAGAGACAGTGATGGTGATGGCCCGAGGCCTCCGCCTTTCCACCGACACGCAACCGTCGGACCGCTCGCCAGCATGGTCGTAGGACCGCCCCACCGTAGCGTAAGCACTCCACTGTATGAAAATAACCCTTTTCAATTTTTTTCGTGCTAGTGTCTATTGGGATTCCAGTACTATGTTTCAGTGGCATATTTCCTGCCCAGTGCTCTGATAAAACATGACATAAGTATTATCTCACTAACCTTGGAAATTAAGTTGTTATTGCAGCAAGTAGATAAGGAGACCAAGAACCGATTGTATGCTGCGTGTGGAGCCGTCATAGGCAACATTTCCTAATCAGTTTTGAAGCCATTGTACCAGGAATTAAACTACAATGACTGCTACGACAATATTGAGCTTAGAAAATGCGCTTCAGTTCTTTAACAAGTACTCGCAACATGAAGAAATCTTCTTTGAACACTATCTTCATTTGGCTTCCACAACAACTGCAACAATTTCAAGAGAGTGAGTTTCTAGCGACAAAGCAAACTAGGACAGCCTGAAATGCCTGGCAAATTGTCAGAAGTGCCAGACGTCCGTGCGTATCCCACAACTAAGCCACGTACTGTAGTTTTTAAAAAACTCCACCCTACTCACAGCGACTCATGAACTGTGCCGCTTGGGATGGCTGTTCATGCGCCCATCACGGCGAGAGACCCGGCTTACCTGTGACCTCTCGCCGAGAGAGTGATCCAAGTTCTCGGCATTGTTAGGAAGAGAAATCGCTTTTAGACAGAAGGAAATGTGAAATAGAAGGGAAGAGCAATCATCGGACCGAGAAGCGTTCCATTACTTCACTCTGTATCCAGGAGATAGATTGGCCGCAACTGGGTACTTATAGTGTACTTCGCTGCGGACGGTTGGGCTTGTCAGGCGGGATGAGTTTGGCGCGGTGCCAAACCCGTTCCCAGTTGTTAAAGCGAGCAAATGATATGACTGTATCATATCGTTCGTATTACTCGTTTTCTACCACTTTTTGTCGCATGCGCGCTTCAACAAGAAGGCAGAGAACGGCTTTGACGGCGGGACACACTCATACTGCCTGACACGCCCAACCGTCTGCAGCGAACTAGAGTAATTGCAGAAACTCCAACACTCGGGTGATGGAGGCTAACATGTAGTAGGGTACATCATTGGTTGGGGATTTTGGTCGAGTCCGTAGACCCCCCATTTTTGTGGGGGGGGGAACACATGTAAAACGGGAAAAGCCGCGAGGAACACGATCTCCTTCTACCGTCTCTTGGAATTTCACATCTTCCTACCCTTTTTTCCGAATTTCCCGCGAGTTTTTCAAAAGATTTGCTGTCGAGCGGGGGTGGGGGAGATATGTAGAGTAAACAAACATGAAACAGGAAAAATCATGAAAAGTTCAGAAGGGAAATGCACCTCTCCCCTCCCAATAATGAACAGATACGACCCCCCCCCCTGTTGGGAAATCCCCTTCTGTGCCCTGACTTGCAAAAAAAAAGTGAACAGGAAGCTAGGCCGCGTTCATACATGATGCAGAAATGCGGAATATGCAGAACTGCGGAATTTGCAGAAAGGAAATATATACGTATCGATCTGAAAACTGCATTTCTTCAAATTCCGCGGAATTTGCCGACATGCAGAAATGACGGACAAAGAATTGATAGGGATCGATTGGTTCTTCCCTGCCGTCGTGCGGAATTGGGAGAAATGCAGAATCTGCAGATTCTGCAGATTCCGCACGACGGCAAATTCCGCGGAATTTGCAGACATGCAGAAATTGCGGACAAAGAAGCGATAGGGATCGATCGGTCCATCGGCATTTCTGCAAATTCCGCACTTCTGCATATTCCACGGTTTTTGAAATCGATAGACATATTTTCTTTTTCTGCAAGTTCCGCGGTTCTCCCAATTCCGCAGGTCTGCAAATTCCGCAGTTCTGCACATTCCGTGGTTCTGCATTTCTGCATCATGTATGAACGCGGCCCTACTGCGGTCATCAGTAGTACGCAATCACACGCTTGACCATATATGCCTTCGTAACACCGATCACGAAGATAATGCTAGCGGAAGCTTACTGGATTTACAATAATCGTAGGGCTAGTGCAGTCACTCGCACAGCACAGAGTAAAGAACGTCTTAGAAATGACTGAAAATTGAAAGCACTCAGACTGATGAACATTCCGATTTAACAACGTCGAGGCGTAGATTAGGTTGTGCTACTGACGAGTACACAACTTACATCTCACCGTACCCAAACTCGTGCCCACGGTTGGTAGCCTTCAAGAATTATGTTTTTTGTACAGGCTAATGCCGTTTGGACTCCAGCAACTTCGGCACCGAGCTCATTTTTAAATTGCCTAAGTTACCAAATCCGCTAAAAACTTGTATGTAGGGGTAGTTTAACATCCTGATTACGAATATGACATTCACTCTTGCCGCTGGCGCTAATGGATGACACTACGATTACCTGCGCTCCGCTAAGGCTGAGCCCAAGAGGTAATCGTAGTGTCATCCCTTGGCGCCAGCGCCAAGAATGAGTGTCATAATTGTAATCAGGATGGTAAATAACCCTTGTGTACATATTTTCAGCGGGTTTGGCGACTTAGGTAATTTAAAAATGAGCTCGGTGCCGAAGTTGGTCCAAACGTAAGCCTTTTGTACATATGTGCATTTTTCACGTATATGAACAGAACAAATAAGTATACACAAATTGTTATATGAGCTTGTG